CCATAAATATTACATTGTAGATAAAAATCCGCAGTTATCACCGAATGTACCACCCCTTTTAAATGCATGAAATAAACTTCTACTATTATTCCTACTAAAATTATTACGAACAATTACCGTCTTCCGCCTGACCGTGAAGGAGTTCCAAACACATCTCGGACAGCTCCGGCGACGTGTCGGTCGCTAGAATATCTACCAAAATCTTCGCAAGCCTCTCGTCTAAGAATATTATATCCGCGTCGTTCAATATGCCTAATAATAAAAGAGAATGCATCGCTGCCTCTCCGCCGATGGTCCCGTCGATCTCCAAAATGCTGCAGATGATCGGCACTATCTCCTGTTGCAACGCCTAAGGAAAATTGCCTACAGATTAATGTATTAATTATCGCATACTTCAAACACCTAGAATACAAACTGTGTATAATAAAACGCGACTAGGGGATAAAAAAAAAAATACGGTCGTACCTCCGTGTGAAGGGATGGCCGGTCAATGAGGAAGTTTAACAGAAGCCCGGCAGCTACGTTACGGAGGAACGGTGCACCTTCCACGTCTTTCATCGCTACGCTTTTCTCCATCACCGCTAATATCGACATTAACCCGTTCTTATCCTCAACATACTTCTTTCCATTCTCTGTAACATTTTATACAAACGTTACCAAGGATTTTTAAAGTTTTATGAGTTGATAACTGCTAATAATTATTTTAATAGGCTCGCAAAATTTGTAAAATCTTGTACGGTGTTTTATTAACGTAATATCTAGTAAGTATTGAAATTTCAATGCTTTATCATTGTTTTTATGTAAGAGTTCTAATATTATAACGATTGTTAGCTACATACATGAACAAAAGGATCATTAGAGATCCCTACCATTCTCGTAGCAAATATTTCCCAGGGCTCTGGATGTCTGTGTCAGCACATCGACGCGGTCGTCCTTCAGCAAATCGATCAACGCGTTCACCAGGTCTGTGCTGGTGCATTTCTCCCGACCTCTCTCGCTTTTAGCGATCTCTGCGATCGCTTTCGCGGTCTTCGCGATGATCTCTTTCGATTCATGACGCAGGAGAGTTAAGAACACATCGTCTATGATGAATTCTGTAGCTTCTGTAAACGTACCATTGGGTTTTAGTCAAGTGATA